GAGCCTGACACAGAAGCTGGCAGCAGTGGCAGACAACTAAGTGCAATTACATTACATAAAAAAAAAAAAAAAAGCATACCCTTATCCCTAACCTAGCTATGCTTTTCCCTATCTTATGAACAGCAGCTACACTTTCCCTCCTCTTACTAAGCATGCAGCTTGAGAATGAATCTAAAATGGATGCTGTCCAGTAGGTGGGAGGGTCTGCTAGGGAGGCTGTGCTGCTAATTGGCTGGAATGTGTCTGCTGACTGTGAGGTACAGGGTCAAAGTTTACTCAATGATGACGAATAGGGGGCGGGTCGAACCGCGCATATGTTCGCACGCCGTGGCGAACGCGAACATGCTATGTTCGCCAGGAACCGTTCGCCGGCGAACCGTTCGGTACATCACTAAGGGAGAGATTGAAAATGTTAGCGAGAGGAAGAGCAAGAGAGGGAGACAAAGTGCGGATGAGATACGAGGGAATAGGATCGAGGGAGCAGGTGGTGGGGCGGGAGGACAGGAGCAGAGCAGAAACCTCTTGTGCTGTAGCAGGTGCAAATGAGCTTAGGATGACAGGGGGAGTGGGGTTGGGTGATGTATTGATACTGGTCGGAGAAAGATTAGAGATCTCTTTCCTGATTGTAGAGATCTTCTCAGTGAAATGAGATGCAAAGTTTGTGGCGGACAAGGTGGTGGAAGGAGGGGGAGTCACAGGGCGAAGAAGTGCATCAAAAGTGTGAAACAGGTGTTTGGGTTGGTGGGACAGTGTGCTTATGAGGGTGTTGAAGTAGCTTACTTTTGCAGAGGAAAGAGCCATGCTGTAGGAGCGCAGCATAAATTTATAGTGGACAAAGTCAGATGCAAAGTGAGACTTTCTCCAGCAGCATTCAGCAGTTCTGGAACATTTTTGGAGGTAACGGGTCAGCTTGGTGTGCCAGGGTTGTAGTTGGGGGCGCTTGCTGCGTTTAACTGTAGGAGGTGCCATGATGTCAAGTTGAGAGGAGAGAGTGGAGTTGTAGAGTGAGGTTGCAGAGTTAGGGCAGTTGTGATTTGAGATGGGTAAAAGGAGTGTTTGGAGTTTAGTGGAGAAGTGCTGGAGATCGAGAGAGTTGAGGTTTCTGTGAGGTTGGAGAGTGGACGGTGGTGAGATTTTGGTATGGGGTATGCAGATGTTAATGTTAGCAGATGGTGGTCAGACAAAGGAAATGGAGCAGTGGCGAGATCAGAGGTAGTACAGAGATTGGTGAAGATGAGGTCAAGAGTGTTTCCTGCAGTGTGAGTTAGTGCTTAGTGCTTTGCTATCAAACTATTGGTTAATAGCTAATGAAAGTTAAGTGTACACAAGATGTTTAATCCGAATGAAATATCTTAAATTTAATTGATATAAAGGAGGAGATATGTTGTTATCTTAGACATGATCAAACAGCCTCCCAGATAGTGTCATGGCTTGCAACATTAATGTAACATCAAAAGAAGATACATTTTAAATAGAAAAGAGACAAATGTATACATAATTGTACACTTATTCCTTGTGGGCACGAGATATTTATATAAAGGATTCTGACAACCATTCTGTGATAAAAAAGGGTATTACTGTGGACTCTTTTGGTTGATTTCTAACCCAGTGTAATATACAACAGTATAAAACAAGGTAGGGTCGGGCCGCGTGGCTGCCGCGTGTTCGTCCATCCCCCTCCCCGGCTCTCTGCATCTCAGTGCGGCGGCCATCTTTGTTCCCCTCGTGTTTGATTCGGAACGAGGAGCAGACTCCCTGCTCTGCTTTCCACTCCCCCTGGGCACATCACTCATTTTACTTTTTTATACCACATGCTGTTATATGTTTTTCATGCCATATTCTTATATATATATCTTTTTTTGTGTGTTTTTTCACCAGTTTTTTCCTTATACAGTTTCTGGTCCATAAATAAACTTTATTGTTTTCTATTTGGGTTAATAAACCCTGACATTTTCTCCTACTGATTACTTATTTTTTCTCCATTTGTTTTTTTCCCTTTTTCTATTGCAGACTGTGCGTTTTTCTCTGCCCTTAATTTGTGCATCATCTGCATTATGCAGGATAAATGTGATGGGCCTGAGGGCCACAGTGAAGAGTCCCCTATGGGGGTCCCTGAGGAACACGCTGTTTCTGAGGAGTTCCAAGCCCTGTTGGACTCCACCATGGCGTCCTCTCTACAGAAAGCATTCACCACCGCTATGGGAGCCATGTCCTCCTCTTTTTCGCAAACGCTGGCTCAGTCCATATTGCTACCCCAGCTGGCTACCCCTACCCTACAGGGCACGGGTCCTGCCCCTACGCCCACCTCACCTATCGCCCGTAAGGCTGTGGTGAAGAGCAAACACCTCTCCTCCCACTCCATGATGCAGGTTGTACCTGCCTTGACGGACTCGTCTTTGGCAGTCACAGATGGCGCGCTACCACCGCGCAAAAGAGCCCCTGGTCGGGCAAAAACGGGCAGATTATGGAAACGGGCTAGATCCCGTGAAGAAGGGTCAGAGAGCGACCGGAGTGAGGGGGATGAGTCTGAGGAGATGGACTATGCCTCTTATGACAAGGCCGGCTCGGAGGAGGGAGCTCCCCCTGCCGTAGCAACCCGTACTGGGGGTGCTGCCCCAGGTGTTACTGCTCAGGGAACGGGCGGTGGCGCAGTGCTTCTGGATCCCCAGGGTAACCCCCTGTTTGACCCGGATGACCTGCGTCATCCTCGCTCGGCTGAGTGGGAGCCACCCGAACACATTGCCCGTTACATCGCGCACAGGATGCGCACACCATTGTCTAAAGAAGAGCGTAGTAAATTGCCGGCAGAATGCCCTCGCCCTTCAGTGCCAAGATCGGCATGCAAGACGCCCGAGGTCGATCCACAGATCGCACAGTTTTTAAATAAGTCAGGTTGGAAACCGAAGAAAGGACTAGATTTTTCCCTAAAGAGTTGCCAAGATAAAATCATGGACACGCTCGGCCCATTATCTAAGGCCTACGAGCTGTTAGAGTCCACAAAATCGGGCGAGGCTGAACTCGACCTGGACGTAGCAATTGGCTGGATACAGCGGGCCATCTGTTTAATCGGCAACGCCAATATGGCAGTTTCAGCCGAGCGCAGGAAAGCTATCCTGCTTAAGATAGACCTGAAGTTGGCTACCATGGCCATATCAGAACCGGGACCCTCGGCTGAGGGTATGTTGTTTGGCGATAACTTCGTCAAGGACCTGGGTTCTTATGTGAAGACAGGGGCGGACTGACAGGTCGGGCAGATCGGTCGTAAACCGAGGGCCAGAGCCAGTCAGGGGCCCGGCAGGACAGCCATGCTCTGGCTGGGGAGATCTATCTTTGATCTTCCCAGCCAGAAAGCAGTAATTCCTCCCTCCCATGTAGTGTACCCCTGCCATCCCTTCAGAGTTAGACCTGGCAGCCATCCTGCTCTGCCAGGTCTCCTCCGTGCTGTACTCTGCATGAGAAGGGAAGAGGCGGGGCCAGAGGAGAGGAAGTGAAGTCACTTCCTGTGCTCGCTCCTCTGTCCTGCGGAGTGGTGAAGATTAGGAGCAACATGGCAGAGACCAGGTATGTGCTTTTTATTAATATTTTCTACTTCCCTCCCTGTATCTCTCACAGCCCCCCTCCCTCCCTGTATCTCACAGCCCCCCCTCCCTCCCTGTATCTCTCACAGCCCCCCTCCCTGTATT